CATCATGCTTCTATTTGTTTATTCAACCAACTCTCCCTGAACTCCTACTGCCTATCTTTCGCTCAAAGAAAAGTATAGAATGGTAGGATTTCAGGACAGATGGTGGGTCATGGAGGACTTTTCCTCAAACCTTCAGGTCCCACACTGCTGACTCCACCTTTCTGGAATGTCATTCTGGATTCTTACACCCTAGGTGGAAATGATGAGTACCTGTCTATCATGTCACCTGAACATCTCATGCCCAGTATCTGGCTTATGAGATGAGGCAGAAAGCAATGTTTCAGCAGAGGATACACTCTGGTGGTGGTGGGAGGAGTGGACTATTCATAATTTAGTTCTCCCCAGTTAATTTCATAGTTCACTTAGAATGTGATTCTAAATTCTAAATTCAATTTGTCTGAAACTTTTCCTGAATCTAGTCAACAGGATCACCATGTAAAGTTAACCAGGTTGTGTACTGTACAAGGGTACCTTATCTGAATGGGAGGGGTCATTCCTTTTTAAAGACAGAATGAGTTTTAATATTTATGTCAATTTTCCAACAGATAGAACTGAAATGTCTTAGGGAAAAAGTGACTTTATCTGATTCTGACAAAGATACAGTATGGGCCAGAGTATATAGCGAAGCAGGTGTGTGCCTCCTTCGTGCTGTGTTCTGGACCTCAGGTCTGTTTAGGATGGAGAGAGTATTGCTGGGAAAGATTCTAACATCTGGAAACAGGTGTGATGGCTTTTTTGTGTTCTGCCTATCCCACAGGTGTTGTCCCCACTGTCTGACTCCATCCTGGCAGAGAAGACAGTGACCGTGTTAGATGACAAAGTGTCGGTCACAGACTTGGCCATCCAGCTCATGGCTGGGCTGTCAGTCAACCTCCACCCCAACACAGAGAACAGCAAGGTCATCACGGCTGTGGCCACAGCTGAGGAGCTGCTGCGGACTCCCAAACAGGTAGGGGGCCAGACAGCAGCAGCCGAGAAGGAGCAGGGCCAGCACCTATGCCTGATTCAACAAAAGGAGAAGGAAGGACAGGGTCAGGCTAGCAGAACCACATTCCAGAATAGAGGCTACATCATTGCAGACCAAAATATTTGTCTTACCCACATAGCTATTGGACAA